TTTTGGTTTTTCTCCGGTACCGGGAACCGAACTCACGACCTTGCGCTTGCCAGGCAGGCGCTTTGCCGCTGAGCTAAATCCCCAGCCCCGGGTTCTGCACTATGGATTATGAGATATACTTACTCTGGCATAGGAGCTAAGAGCATTTAGGCAACTAAATGTCAGGCTTCCTCTTCCTCATACCTCTCCTTTTATTTACCTCCTCCTTCTTTAAGGATTGAATTATATAATATAATAATTCAGTAACAATGTAAAACAGAAAACCAAAACTTTACCTCATAAATTTCAAATCCAGGATTATTCATTGGGCCAGCATAGTAAAGCTGCTCTGAAAAATATAGAAAGTGTGGATACCAATATTCAGGCATCTGAAACAAAAGTGATTTGCTTATATTATCTGTGGTTGCATAGATCAGAACAACTGGGGGAGGCTAAAGTAAGAGCAGACATTGATATAAATGCTTTAGATTCCAGATGTCCACTTATTCTTCATCCATCCATCCATTCATTCATTCATTCAGGCAGCGGACACTTGTTGAACACCTACCATGTGACAGGCACTGGGGGCCAGCGATGGAAAAAAGTCTCTGCCACACATTGCATATAGTCTAATGAGGAGGCTGATGATACCGAGATTACTAAACAATATGTAGACTGTAAAAAGGGCTAAAGGAAAATATGCAGTGTGAGAGAGGCAGGTAATATGGAGTGGAGACACCAGGCAGGAGCTGGGAGCACAGGGTTAAATTGTGAGACCACCTTTTATCTGTTTGATCTTGAAAATCACTCTTCCCTGGACTTGGTTTTCTTTTCCTTAAGATGAGTGTGACGAAATGGAAAACACTTCATGGGATCATGAGGAATTAAAACAGTTAATTAAAACATGAATAATGGTCCCTGGGAAGTCCCGGACAAATGTTTGTGAGCACTAGGTACTGGGAGATACCATGTTTGATAGGTTGACTGGTCAGGGCTTGGGAAAGACATTTCTGTGGAGGTGATGTGTATGCTAAGTCCTGACTTGGGGTACAGTTCAATGGTAGAGCATTTGTGTAACATGTGTGAGGCCCTGGCTTTCATTCCCCGTATAAAAAAGGAAGGAAGGAAGAAAGAAAAGATGGATGGAATTAAGAGCTAAACCCTGAAGGAGGAGAATAAGTCAACCACTTAAAGGACTGGGAAAAGAGCGTTTTAGGGCAACAGAGCATGGACAAAGGCGCTGATGTGAAAAAGTCTCAGAAATTGGAAAGACAGGGCAAGTGGGTCTGCTGAAATACAGAGAACAAGAAGGACTATGCGGAAAAGCAGCGAGAGACTGAGGGGAGACATCTGTTTCAGAACCTTGAGCGTATGGTAGAGAGTTCAGTGGGGAAGGTGTTGAAAGGTCAAGGGAAAATACCTACTTTGTGATTTGCATAAGCATGGGGTGGTATGAAGAATGGCAAGGAGAAGTGGAAAAGGAGACTCATCAGTGGGCAAGGGGAGTGACGGACTGGTGAAGGCGGTAGTGGAGATCGTGGTGGAGAAATATTGTTGAGACCATAGCGGTTATTATGGTTTAGATCTAAAAATGTTCTCCCAAAGTCTCATACATTTGGTAGGTGATTGGATCATAAGGGTGCTGTACTCATCAGCGGATGAGTTCAGAAGCACGCCTCAAGCTCTCCAGCACTCAGAGGTTTGGTGGAGAAATCATCTTTGCAGACTAGAGGGCAGTCGGTGAGGTGGAGGTCATCGGGGAATGCAGAGTCAGGAGCGTTTCTCAAGCAGGAGGGCCTGATCCACTTGTTGAGTGCCACCTCTGTGAGTCTGGTACCACATGTGCAGAAGTGTGCAGTGGAAGTGGAAACGTGGACACCATTTGTGGACCATAACAAAAAAAATTTGTGAGGTGAAAATAAATGCCCAAAGGGAGAGGGTTAAACAGTGCTATGGAGGTAAGAAAAAGTTTTGCTGTAGAGGGGAAGCATAAGAAATGTGTGATAACTGGAGAAGGTGTGGAGTATAGAGTGGTTTGTTACTTTATTCAGTGTGAAAGCCAGAGCAGAACATGTAGGTGAAGGAATAATCCTGTGGAAAGAAAAAGATTGAAATGCAAGAGAAGAAGTGAAGTGTAAGGTTTAAAAGGGTAGGAAACAGACCAAACACTGTCCATTCAAAGGGGCTTTGGGTCAGGGGCACCACTGAAGGGTATTAGGGACATGGAGATAATTCCTCCTTTAAAAATGCCTCTGCAGTACAATCTGAGGTCTCAATTTCTAATAGGAGACCTGTTCTTAGAATAAATTTTGGCATTAGTTAAATGTCCATGTCCTTAACATACCTATCTTTCTTTCCATTGGTCAAATTCTGGTACCTTGCAAGTATTACATGCATATGTGGTGAGTGCTAGACATTTTTACCTCATCCCACTAAATGTCTAGATTTGTTCATTTTAAAAAGGAAATAGCTGCAGCCATGCCTCTCTGAATGACAGAGTCTGTTCTGAGAAGTGTATCTTTTTGTGGTTTCATTGTCATGCAAACATCCTAGGCTGTCCTAAGATGGCTATGATGTCACTAGGCAATCTAGTATTATGGGATCTCCAGCATATATATGGTCTGTCATCAACTGAAATGCCATTATGTGGCACATGAAGACTGTTTAGGGTTCAGGATAAGCACGAGTTGTATTGGAATGCACTGCTTTGCACAATGTGGTATTGAGAACAGAAACATTTCAACTCCTTTCTTTAAGGATCTTCCAGTGCAGCTGGGTAAGATGCAATACAAAGCGTTAATTGTAGGAAGACTGTGCTAGGCATGAGGGTGCTGAACCTAAGCACAGAGAGTTCAGAGGGACTCCTTGCTAGGATTTGTTTGCAGTTCCGGTGTTTTGCATGATCTGAGGGCTCACTATTCAGAGTGCCCCAAATTATCTTTGCTGTACAGGGCATTCTCTGACTCACACCAGGGCTGTCATAACAGAGAGACAAAGAGACCCCTGACCAATCTTTTTCTGACAAAAGATCATTTCATTTCAATTCACCAATCTCTAGAGCTATCTGCTTCCTGCCCAGTATTCCAGTTTTCTTACCAATTCTGTGACTCTTAGATATACTTTCAAGAAGTACCCACTGCTTTGTTAGATTAATGGATTTATGTGGCCCCCAACCAAGGGATGTGAGTGCTCTGGGTGTGAACCAATCAGGCAGGGTCACTCCTGCTGACTGTCAGGACTTGGGGAATGGCATGGCTCCAGCAGAGTACAGAATGAGGACTGGATGTGATCGTTCCTGTCTGGTCTGGCTGGATTCCCATGGGCACATTTGATGCCCACTTTATGCTTCTGTATATTGCTCATTGGTGGCACAGTACCACTTGAACCACTTGACCTAGAAAGCAGACAGATGAGCTCAAGACCCAGCTGTCCTACTCACTAGCTAAGTAATAGTGCTTCGCCATCTTTCTATTTCAGCCTCTGCATCTGCAGAATTCTACACACACTAGCCAAGATGTGGGACCAACCTAGATGCCTTCAGCTGATGCATGGACAAAGGAAATATGACTGTGAAGAAGAATGAAATTCTGTCATTTGCAGGAAAATGGGTAGAACTAGAGAACATTGCATTACACAAAGTAAGGCAAGTGCAGAAAGACAAATATTAACGTTTATTCTCATATGTGGAAACAAACTGGAAGTAGAAGAGGGAGTCTTAAGGGAGGGGAAGGAAACTAGTAGGATGAGAAGACAGGGTAGATGAGGGTAGGAAGGGAGGGACATGATCAAAGTACATCAGTTGTATGTGTGGAAATGTCACAGTGAAATACATTAACTTGTGCAATTAATATACATTAATGATTATGATAAAATACAAATAGAAATGACTTTCTCCAGGACATAAAGAGGACTAGAGATCTTGTATGCAACCAGACTGAGCAGAATGGGGACTCCAGGAAGGGTAGAAATACTTGATATAGTTGGATCATTATTCACCTGGAAGGAGCAGTCACTTGCTAGCTGCTGAAACACACGGTGAGACTGGGTTTTAGACCCTGGGTTTTGGACTGAATTTTGGACAACTGCTAAGTTCTTGACTTCTTGTTTGAAAAATGGATGATTATAGCTCTTTGTAGGACACCAATGAAATGACATCTAATATCCTGTAATGCGCACACCATTCCCCAAGATTGCTCATTTGTGCTGTTCTTTATTAAAAGGTCCCTTACTGAAGTGAGAGATTTTCATCAAGTTGGTCCCCAGCGCTTTGCAGCTTCAACTGGAGTGTTTTGGGGCCCATGAAGTTCCTGAGAATAGCTACAAGTTGCTCAAGGAATTCACTATTTTTTTAACTTGATAAAGCAGCACCTACAATGAAACCCTTGCTCCTTCTTTTCTCAGATCCTCTCTGATTCTGAGATTCCTTAATTAACATTCTCACACTCTAGTATTATAAAAACATCCTCAGTATATTTGCACCCCTTTCTTCCTTTCCTCCTTTTGAATATTTTTTGTTTGTTTCTAATGTGCAGTGGATTAAAGAAATTCACCTCCCGGGTTCTGAACACACGAGTGCATTTCTGAAAATTGGTTTTATTTTTTTTTAAAGAGAGAGAAATTGATTTTTATTTTATTTTATAGTTTTGTAGTGTTGGGAATTGGCCTTGTGCATGCTAGGCACGCTCTCTACTGCTGAGCTACACCCCCAGCCCTGGAAATTGATTTTTAAGTTGTGGAAATAAAAGGCCCCAAAGGGTTTCGGATGAGACTGACTTGAGATGAGGGCTCGAGTATTGCTCTCTCTCTCTCTTTGTTCTCAGTAACCAGCACAGATGCTGGTGTGGAGGAGCTGGTTGAATGCATGACCACTGCCAGACAGGTTCTCTCCACTTCCTGGCCCTTGCTAGGGCCTCGTGAGAATTTCTTGCAGTCTTTCAAGTGTATTATGAAGACAGCATCAATATTTAAGCATTGTTAGGGCCCTTGACACTGTATAAATACTTACAGTAACAGTTTATGATGCTAGGTCAATTAGTATACCCAGGACAAAGATTTTATTTAAAAAGATAACACCCTTATTTTTTCTTGTGCTAGGGATGGAACCAGGGCCTTGCACATGCTAAGCACAGGCTCTACCACTGAACTACAGCCCCAGCCCTCATTTATTTACTGACTTAGTATTTTGAGCTCATTTCTTACATGCTGGGCCCAGTGGGATGGGGATAAGGAAAGAGGGAGGCGACCCCAGCTGTACTGAACGGTTGGCAAAAAAAAATGTGTATATAACGTGGCTAACTAACATATTCAGTCCCCCGCCTAGTTAATATTTAATTTTTTGTTTTGTGGTGA